GCCAAAAGCAGTGTGGGATCCAGCGCGGGGATGCTGGCTTGCGCGCTGCGACATGGAGGGGGCGAACGGTCGCAAATCGCATCACCACGTGTATTGGTGCAAGTGTTTTGGTGGCAAAGGAGGGAGGGGATAGGCTTGTCAAGCACTTTCTTACTACAAAATATTGGGATCATTATGCTGGGTGCATTTGGGAACATTTTTATACAATTCTTGTTCAGGGGGTTGAGGAAGTGCTTTGTGTAGAGAGCAATCCTGGTCTCTATAACTTTTGGTAGAATTTTGTAGAGTATGTAATATAAAATAGAGCTATTATTTATACACACCGATGATCACCGATATATATATATATATAGTATACACTTACTGAATCACTGCAATCTTTAGCCGAGGACGGAGCAGAAGTGGTCTTGGACCCTTGTCATCAGCAAGCAGATGCCTAAATTGCGAACACCAATTCCGCACCCTCCGGACTCTTGATGGCAGAAGGTGTTCAAGCTTTCGGAGGTAGGTGGTGCATTCCCATAGGGCTGTTGTTGAGATTTTTCAGGACATACAAATGCATTTGGTAGAGTTTGCATGCCTGGCATTTGCATTTGGTAGACTGGTTCTAGTCTAAATGTTGCATTTTGTAGTGACATGTAGTGACATTTGTTGTGTATTTGGCTTGCAGCACCGCAGTTCCTGTCCAGTTAGACGTGCGCAGCGTGTTGAAGCAATGGTCAAAGTTGCGTTTGCAATGCTTTTCCATTTTGGGATGCTGGCAATGTTTGCTTCTGCAGCGCTTCCTTCTTTGAAAGATGATACTACATGCTCAGTAACGGAAGATTTGCTGCTTGTCGGGATTGGTGAGCAAATCTTGGTCACTACAAAATGCAGTACCTGAATGTCGCTATGACTTTAATTATACAAAATGAACTGAGCTTGGAATCTATTTAGACCGTAGACATCCGCAGACAGATTTTTCGCATTGTGGAGAGAAGACTAATGCGACAATGATGACTGAGGTGGTTCCGGGCCGAGGATCATCAGCAAGATGCCGTGTCATGGGCTCGCAGCCTATCTTGCCCCATAGTGGATTTAGTAGAGCTGTTTGGGATTGTTTGGGCTTGTTAGATCACTAAACAATAGCAGTTTTTGTTTTCTCAAGTTCATTCACTAAAGAATCTAAACAATGTCTTTGTTAATGAGAGCACGCTCCTTTTTTTGAGGCAAGCCCATTTACTATGCCCTTGATCTCTTTGGTGCATCACGTAGCGTTACAAGAGCATGGCGAAAGGCAGGGTTTGCTGCTACAGCCTTCGACATAAAGTTGTCAAAGAGGCACGACCTTTGCACCAAAATGGGTTTCTTCCTGCTCGTTCGTTTGGGTATGCAGCTTCTTGGTACTCAAGATTTCATTTTATATCATTTTATATAGAACAACATTTAGATATTTTTATACATTCGAGGTTTCTTTAGATGTTTCCCAACTGCTGCTTGAAGTGGAGTGAGGTTGACCAATGACGGTGTGGTTGTGGCAGCTCCCCCCTGCTCCTTGTACGGTCCAGCTTGCGCTTCTGTTCACAAAAGAACAAGAAGAAACCCTGCTGGCAATTGGAACAACTTCAAGGTCCGCATGGCTCATCGCATTTGGACAAACTTTGCAGCGTGGCCGCCAAAAGTATATAAATTACAAAATGAGAGGTGCCAGGCATAAACACTACAAAATGTGAGTGCGTGTCCGCTCTTGGCACGCATCAGGAAGTCTTTGTCCGAGTGCTGCACGAAGTGCGCAGTTCCATCCGGCTGATTGTGGAGCAGCCATCAGGAAGCTGGGCGTACAAGCAACCAGGAATGATAGACCTGGCTTTGGTCACTGGCTTGCTCTTTGTCTGTCAGATGTCCGACTTTTGTTCTATTTTGTTCTTATGATTGAATTTTGATGACCCGTTTTTGGAAATAATATGCTACCATAATCTACCATATACATCCGAAAGCATCCCGAAGCCATATATATATATATCACCATATACTGTACTACCAGGATTGTCACCACGACGTGGATGGCTTACTGGGGCCACGACCTGTTGAAGTGCACGCATCTCTTGAGCAACATGAGGACCGTTTTTCTTGAAAAAATATATATAGTGCATCAAGATCAAAGCAGACTGCAATACAGCAAAGACCACATCCAAGCACCCCTGCTCCATGCTGCGGGCAGGACCACTGGAACTTTGCGGCGAAAGCTGAGCAAGGCAGACAGGGCGGCTTTCCAGCGTCGCTTTGCAAACCGCCAGAAACATCGGAAGAACAAGAAGGAGATTTGCACTCAACTCTTCATTTTGTAGTAGAAGAGGTTTTGCTTTTGCATTTGGTAGTGATATTGATTGCAGGGCCCTTTTGAATCAACCTGTAGGACTATCACCATCGCATCAGTAGATCCGGTGGAAAGAAAGGCTGGCAGGGAGGAAAGCACCTGGCACAGTCTGCGGCCTTTACCCCTGCCTTTAGCCGGGCTTTGCTTGAATGCTGGCTGACTTTCCGCGCCGAGCTTCAACGAGCGGAGCTTTGAGAGTCCTTGAATCTCCTGGGACGCAATGTAGAGCTACACCAAGTTGAAGCAGATGTGTAAAGAGTACAGGTGACTGGAGAGCGCTTGAGTGCAACCGTTAGACCTTGCCATTTTGTAGTGTTCCATAGCGCCCCAAATTCAATGCTTAGTGCAAATATTCCAAGGTTGCCGTACAGATTGCGAGAATCGCAGAAAGTCTGATGATGCTTGAGTTGTGCATCATTGTGCGACTAGGGGAAGTAAAAAAAGAATTCTTTGCTGTCAGCGCCATGGAGATCACATGGGTGTTTTAATTCTGGGTAAAGGCATGTGCAGGCATTTTCTAGAAATTGTGAAGTGGGTCTGCATTTTGTAGAGGCTGCACACGCTGTACCAAATTTTGCTTTGTCCATGTGCATTTACTCAGGACACACATCCCGATGAACCAGCGCAACGTCCTGATCCTCCAGCTGAAGTTGCTGCAGAGGCAACTCACTTTTGCA